GTTCTTTACTTGGTGTCATTTGCTAAAAACAGATGGTGGTCTTGGATTCTAATCATGGTTGGTATATGGAAGTCATNTGACATTAAATAAGTCATCTTTACATGAAAATCCAGTCGATCCAGCTGTAAATGGGGGGGGGTAAATTCGGAAAACAACATTGCCAAGAGAATTTGCCAAGGGCCAGCTGGTAGAAAGGATCCTTGTGAACCTAAGTTGTTATCATTGCGTTGAAAAATGTTGATTGGTTTTCTCTTTCTTTGATACCAGAAAATTGAAATTAAACAACAAGATCCCTTCATTAACAGGTGTGACCAATAAAAGTGTTGTATTTTAAACAAGAAATCTAATGTTTACATAATTAGGTTTATTTGAATTTCGCAGGTTTATATGAATCTAATAGTCAAAGGTAATAACTGGTTTGGTTCTCCATTAACATTTCTTGGAATATATTTACTCATGTTTGCCAAGATTTACCTCCGTAGGATACGAAACCAGGGCTCACTGAGTTAGATGCTTACTTGCTAACTAGGGTTTAATCCTGGAATAGGTAGAGATAATGCCTTTTGATTTACTTGTGTTTGCCAAGAATTATCTCTTTGGGTTGCAAAGGAACCATGGTAGCTAGGTGAGATAGACGCTTGCCCATTAACCAGGATTAATCCCAGCATATGCTGAGATGAGATAATTTTCAACCTAGTTTACCTTGTCAGTGATGCAGGTTGGTAGAGCTAACAATAAAAGAGCCTCGTCTGTCTTTATTAGTCCAATCAGGTGCAGAAAAGTAATTAGCGGCAAAAACTTTATTACTTGTGGTTTTTAAGAACGTTTTGACTTTAGTTGATGAAAATGATATCCATGAAGGGCAACCTTTGTTTTGAAAGAACTTTTTCAATGTTGACACAAATTTTGCAAAAGTAAATAGAAAGTACATTACACAAGAAAAATAAAACCTTGGAAAAAATCAGATAAGCTAGGTCTGTAAAAAGAAATCCCTCAAAGATATTGTTTAACTGATTTGAAAACAATTAGACTTTATCACATCATGTTCTCATCAATAGTTTACATAAACTGTTTTTGACTTAGATTTATATATAGCATGTCCTTACCAAACACATTGATAGCCAAACAAATCTATCAGCCAAACACCAGAATAGTACAGACTATAAATCATTCCAAACATTGGAACCTTGACCTTGAATAAGTCATATTTTGGTGTTATTCCAGTGGACACAACAGGAAATGGATATTGATAATCTGGGAAAAATCAATCCATGTAGCCTTGTGCTAGCTTGTAGACAGGATCCATATGAACATATGTTGTTATCCTTGATAAATAAATCCATGTAGCTTTGTACCAGCTTGTAGACAGGATCCATATGAACATATGTTGTTATCCTTGATAAATAAATCCATGTAGCTTTGTACCAGCTTGTAGACAGGATCCATATGAACATATGTTGTTATCCTTGATAAATAAATCCATGTAGCTTTGTACCAGCTTGTAGACAGGATCCATATGAACATATGTTGTTATCCTTGATAAATAAATCCATGTAGCTTTGTACCAGCTTGTAGACAGGATCCATATGAACATATGTTGTTATCCTTGATAAATAAATCCATGTAGCTTTGTACCAGCTTGTAGACAGGATCCATATGAACACATGTTGTTATCCTTGATAAATAAATCCATGTAGCTTTGTACCAGCTTGTAGACAGGATCCATATGAACACATGTTGTTATCCTTGATAAATAAATCCATGTAGCTTTGTACCAGCTTGTAGACAGGATCCATATGAACACATGTTGTTATCCTTGATAAATAAATCCATGTAGCTTTGTACCAGCTTGTAGACAGGATCCATATGAACATATGTTGTTATCCTTGATAAATAAATCCATGTAGCTTTGTACCAGCTTGTAGACAGGATCCATATGAACACATGTTGTTATCCTTGATAAATAAATCCATGTAGCTTTGTACCAGCTTGTAGACAGGATCCATATGAACACATGTTGTTATCCTTGATAAATAAATCCATGTAGCTTTGTACCAGCTTGTAGACAGGATCCATATGAACACATGTTGTTATCCTTGATAAATAAATCCATGTAGCTTTGTACCAGCTTGTAGACAGGATCCATATGAACATATGTTGTTATCCTTGATAAATAAATCCATGTAGCTTTGTACCAGCTTGTAGACAGGATCCATATGAACATATGTTGTTATCCTTGATAAATAAATCCATGTAGCTTTGTACCAGCTTGTAGACAGGATCCATATGAACATATGTTGTTATCCTTGATAAATAAATCCATGTAGCTTTGTACCAGCTTGTAGACAGGATCCATTCAAATGGATAAGGATATGGATAATCTGTGAAAAATCAGTGCTAAGAGGTTTGGCCAAGAACTTGCTGCCACACAGAATCCATGAGAAATTAAGTTGTTATCCTTAAGAAAGAAGGAAGAAGAACTTTCCTTTGGAACACCCTTGTTCTGGTGTGTACGGC